TGATGTGATTCTTGAAAGACCAACGATGGATGATTAGGCCTGCTCACTACTTCACTCTTTGTCTATGCCAGACATTCGGTACTAGTGACATACGGGCTTTAAGGGTGATTTCGTTAACCCGCGGACCCACCAGCCGGCACAAGGGTGCTCAACACTTTTCTGTCGTACAAGCATGACGGGCTAACGAAGAAGTGTGAAAAAAAGGATGACCACAGGCATACATGAAATTCACACCTACCATTCTGGTCTTGAGATGACGGCTTGTCAAGCGGTGCGACCGAACGTCCAATCCGTAGACGTCGATGCTGGCGAATTGGCGTCTCCCGGGCCTTGGGAGCGCTGATTTGACCAATCCTTGGCCGGTCTCGTAGGCCGGCCGGCCCGACAACGACCATATCTCAACCGACATTGCGGTTGCCTGCAAGGGCGCTCTGCTGCGGGCCACCGTTGGCCCGACGATGAGGGCGCCTGGCACAGGCCGGTCCGTGGGGCTGTTGAGACCGCTTTGGGCGCCAATACCGGCCGTCTTTTCGGTACCACCGGCACCTGAGACTGCCGGCCCCGTTGTCGGGGCCGGATGCGCCGGCGCGACTGAGACGGCTGTCGCCGGAGCCAGCCCCACCGTCTCTTCGTCTGTCAGCAGTCGATTGTGCAGGTCTTCCCGAAGCCCGGCCAATGCAGTGGCGTAGAGACGAGTCAGCACGCAGTGGCGCATCTGCTGGCAGTTGGGCAGCTTCACGGACACGCTGCCCATCGCCGAGAGAAGAGCCTGAATTGGACGAGAATACAATCATTTTTCGTCACACTCTTGCACTACTTTAGCATACATAATCTAGGAAAATATTTCATTTTATAGAAGTTTTTTGACCTTGTTTTCGCAATTTGGTCATATTCGTAGGAAGACTTAGAGCAACGCACCTAGTTCGGAGTCCATTGTAAGCATCATCATTTCCAGAGCAGGACCGTGGACGTAGTACATTCCCAGAAATGAGTTTTACCATTCTTGGCACCACACAACAACTCGTCAAAAAGACAAGGGAAGCCGATCCTTTGACCAAACGTGTGCTAAACAGTTGTGGTATCTCCCCTTG